GTTGCTCGGTGGCACAGACACTGAGGTGCAAGGGTTTCGGGTTGAAGGGTTTATTGTCTAGGGTTGGGTTTGGGTTCATTTAAGTTCAATCAGTCAGGACCCGTGCCATCGTCGAGGCCCTGCGATTCTGTGAGAAGTTGCCCCAGTCGAAGTGGCGTGTTGCTATCGGCACACCACTGCCCACTCAATTTGCTACCAAGAGGCGCACCACCTACAAGATCAATGGAGAGGCCGATATCTGGAATTTCCTCCGCACCGTCCGCGGGTTGTCCCAGAAGCGGACATTGTCCGGTGCTGGTGTACAGATGAGGCATTTGCCCCCCAAGAAACCCAAGAAAGTTCGTGCGTCATAGTCCTGTACTGCAGCAGTTAATGACAGTGCTCTTTGGCTCCTTGGCTCCCAGGTTCGCAGGCAGGAATTTTCCTGGGGTCGAATCATTTTAAGTCTAGTCGTTCGCACAGGAATGTACAGGGGGCCTGTGTCGCAAGGCAGGGTTAACCTTGTCTGGGGCAGCAAGTGCCTGCAACAGAGCCTGTTGCAAGCCCCTGCTCAATACACTGCAGATTGGTGCCAATCCGGGGCGTATTGGCAGGACAAAACGGCCTTGCAATTCACTTCCCCTGCCGTTGTTTAATTGCAGGACAATGGTAGGATGCAATACACCATGGATTGGTGCCAATCCCTGGTGTATTGACGTTCCATTTGTCCCTTGCAATAGCCTTCCTCTTTCATTTCAATACAGGCAGGATTCGCGCCAATCTCCGCGGCGCTACATCCAAGGGTGTTTTGGATGCATCCAAGGGTCCCGGCAGCTCTTGTTCCATGCATCCAAGGGTGTTTTGAGTGCATCAAAGGGTCACGTTAGCAGTGCCTTAATGATGAAAGAAGCACCTGTCACCCTTCAATGCACACGAATGACCCTTCAACGCACGCAAATGACCCTTCAATGAACATGTCACTTGTCACTGCATTGTCTGAGGCTGTTGTCGTCGACAAGCTGGACGTCGAGGGGCAGGCCCAAAGTCGTTTCATTTCAGTCATGGTTGGCTGTGTGTCTGAGTTGTCAGAACATGACAGTTGCATGCGACAGTGTGTTGTGTCAGTCTTGCCATGTCACTATCAGCATCTGATACGAGGCTTCTGCGGCAACAGGCTCCAAGGCTCCCTGGCTCACATAGGCTACTAGGCCCCAATGCCGCCTGCGAAAATGGCCGCAGCCGATCCTAAAGCAGCCGCCGCAGATATGGCACCCACCATCATCGCCGAGCCGGAGGAGAACCCAGTGATAGAGACTCAGTCTCAGAGATCTTGGTCGCGTCTCGGCTACTGTGCGCTGAGGGCAAGTGACTACGAGAAGAGTGTGGAGGCGGCTTCCGCGTTTGAGAAGGATTCCTATTACGAGTCACCGGAGATCGGCTTCCGTGCCTTGTTTCTGGCGACGAAACTGGACGCCATCACATGGCAGCGCAAGGAAGCCATGCGCAAGTTGGGGGCGGCCCCGTCTGCTGCAGACAAGCCTGTGAAGGCGAAGCTGCGCTCATCGCGCCGCCAGCTGACAGAAGCCATTGGGGAGACCCAGTTCGTGGTTCTCACACTGTTCACCAAGAAAAATCTGGCCGAAGCGTGCTCTGCAAGAGACATTGTGGTGGAGGATGGCGGCTACTATGTTCCGCTGTTCTCGGATCCTTGCCAGGAGCTGCCTTTCCACGACGAGGCGAACTGGAGCCTTGAATTCGAGTACATCGGACGCCAGGAAGTCTTTTCAATTATTGTTATTTAATTTTATATTAATTATAGGCTCAGGGGTTCAGAGGTTCAGGGGTTCAAGGGTTCAGGGGTTTAGGGGTTTAGGGGTCCAGGGTATTGCGTCCGATCAAGGCACGTCATGGTGCAGGCCACGACCAGCCGCGCCTGGCAGACCCTTGCACCCGGGCCCGACCTTGGCGGGGGTTTGGGCTTCATGTGCTACACGGCGGTCAAGTCGGAGGAAGGCGGCGGCGGCGGCGGCTTCGACATTAGCAAGGAGGACACATCTGCCCTCGTGAACTTCTTGGCCCGGAACCACGTGTTCGCTGCGCAGGGGGCTCCGTTCCTTCCGGATCCCGGTGCATCCCTGTTCCCGGTTTCTTCGTCCACGCACGCAGCGGCCACGTTGGGTTTTTTTGCCCTCAAGCAGCTCGACATGGACATGCTCGAGTTCAGCTGCGAGGGCGTCATCAACCAGTCACCGCCGGTTCTCCATCCGATGGGGTACTTCTGGATGCTCAAGGGCAATGACCTGGCAGAGCGGATCCGCACCGGCAACTTGAAGGTACGCAGGTCCGGGATCGAGATGGTCATCGTGGGCATGAGCAACCCCAGGAAGCACTCAGACATTCTCCTTGAGGCTCAGCGCTCCAAGCTGGTGGAGCACAAACGGCGCTTGAAGGAACAGGTGGACGTCTCCAACAAGCAGCTCCGCCGCGACCAGGATGCCCTCGCTGCCGTTGATGCCCAGCTGAGGCGTCTCCCAGGCTCCTAGGCTCCCAGGCTCCAAGGTCCATGACTCATCAGCAGCATAGTAGGATTTTGATGCTTCCTTACTTTGCTGCCAACTTGATTTAAATGGACATGTAAAGCTCAAGCCGCTCGTCGACAAACTGTGGCAGGGCCCACGACTACAAAGGACCGCTGTCGACGTCAGTTTGTGTTTGTTTGCAGCATGTCCTGCACTGCAGCAGTCTTATTGCCTTGCGCTGCACCGCACGACTCCAAACGGTTCCGTGGAAGGCTACTCGGCTCCCAGGTTCCCAGGCTTCTGTACTCGCGCTCAATGGCAAAAGTGCCGGATTTGCCCACCGACCCAACCGTTCTGCGCTCAGCATTTTCGGAGCAGTATGACGTGTGTGATGATGATGTGTGGCACGCCATGTGAAGCAGGCCAGTGCTCAAGAAGCCCTGGCAAACATCGTGCCATGGGCCCTTCGCTGAGTTCTTGATACCGTGTCCCGTCTCGCGGCTAACAGTGCTGCATGCCGTGCCTGCCCGAGGTCCGCAGCCAGCTCCCTCTGAAGTTTCCGCAGGCCAAGCAGATGTTCAAGACACCGCCGCTTGCCATCAACGCAGAAGCCAAGATGGGGGATTTGACCGGATACAAGGCGGGCGCATGTCGATCAATGTCATTTATTGTTTGACCGTTGTCGTTTGTCAGGCTGTGTGGAGCAAAGATGACTGCCAAGCGTCCCTGACATCATCTGGACTTTACGAAGCCAGTGGCCTCGCGCTGTGGCTGGCCACCGAAGCTTTTGCCAGTGCGTCTGAGGATGTGTGCTGGCAGGATCTCCAAACTTTCGAAGACGCTTTCTTCTCCAAGAAAGTTGCTTTCAGCACAGTTGTATCGCGTGAAGCTGCCAAGAAGAAACAAAAAACGTCACGAAACCGGCTGACGTGGCCTTGTGAGATGATTGTCCTCACGGAGTCAGCATCTGACGTGATTCACGAAGAGTTCAACAGCTCGTTGCATCTTGCTAGCGGCGTGTTTGTGTTGTGGGCTTGGTACTTGGCCGTCTTCAAAGCCCTAGTCTCCCAGGACAGTTGCTGCTTGTGTTCACATGACATGACATGTTATTGATTCATCTGACTGATGTGTGCTTGCACTTGGCAGGACAAAGCAGTTTTGGAGATTTTGTGGGAGTGTGGCTGCACTGTCACGATACAGGTTCGCTTGTGTTCCAGCGCAGGGGAGAGTGCGAAGAGTCGCTCGGGCACCCTGGCCTGTCCGACACCTTTTGGACATTTGCAAAGACTGTCCAGCTGCTCAAGGTCGAAAAAGTCCAGGATGGTGAGGAACAGAACTTGAGGTACAACAACACCTTGTACAACAAGGCCGTACACCAGGCTGCCACAGCAGCTGTTGCAGTGCTGCGGGGTCCATCCGGTCCCGTGGAGAAGGCTGCCCGGAGATTGGAGCTGGAATTTGGGCGGGGCATCTTGAGCAGTCAGTACTCGAAGTTGAGCAAGCTGTTATCGCTGACCAACAAGCTCGCATCTGCTACCAGAAACGCTGTAGACCTGACGGCCTGGATGATCGACTCCTTGACGCTGGCCCTGCGCATGAACATGGTCACGCCAGCTAAATGCACCGAGAAGTTTCTGGATCGAGACCGGAAGACAGGCGATGCTGGCTTTTGGTTGTCGCGCATGCTGGTGGTGCAGGCATTGTAACTATTCTGACTAGCGTGTGTATTTTTTTTTTTTGCGGAGTGTTGCAAGTCATCGGCAGCTTGAACACTGACAGAGGTCTTCGATTATGCAGCAAAGCTGGCGAAAAAGTTGCCTGAGCCGGACAAGGTTAAGCTGACAGGGATTTTGGCTGAACTCCGTTGCCCTTCCACATGTTGGGAGAAATATCTCTGCCATGCTGATGCTGATCAAGGGGCTGCTGGAGAGGACGACATGGACGGCGAGGACCCAGAGGACGTGGAGCGCCCTGTTCCGCAGTCCAAGATTGGAGCTGTTAAAGAGGGTTTCAACAAAGCCATTGGCATGCTTTTGGATTTGCTGCTGGAGCTGATGTCGGGGAAGTACTACAAGGATTGCTGCATGCTGGCTTCGAGTGAAGATGGCCTTGCAAAGGCATTGACAGCTGCACAGCTTGGAAGCTCGGATGACACGGAGCACGAGGAGCCATGTGCGCGTATCACTCAGATGAAGATCATTGTCGACAAGTTCGACAACAGCACGAAGTCCGTTGGTGCCACATCTGCGGCTCCTGCTCCGAGTTTGCTCCAAAGCCTGGCCAAGGCTTCTGAAGCTGACACACCCGAGGAATGTGTCTAGCGTGAGCGGCAGTGGAAGGCGGTGCAAACGGAACGCCGCAAGTTCGTGTCGTTCTCGGTACCGAACAAGATCTCGAAGGACTGCCTAGTCAAGGCGTTCAGAGGTTGCGGCAAGGTCTTCACGCACAAGGGCACCTTAAACTCTTCGCACCGCCTGATCGTTGCCAGTGCGGATCTCTTGGCAGAGGCTGGTACCGACCCGTGGCTCAAGGGCACTCCGCAAAGCGAGGAATGGAAAGAGATCTGTGCCTTTGCCAAAGACATTTCTGGGCCCGAGGATTTCGTTGTACTCTTCGACGGCAGAATGCGGGAAATTCGCCGCGTGTCCGAGTCTTGGCGGGGTGATGTGACAAGGCTCCCAGGCTCCAAGGCTCAAAGGCTGCACCTGGTTCTTTAAGGAAGACCTCCTGCTGAACCAGCAGCACACCGAGGAGTGCACCATCGTGTACTCAGGTGGGTGCCCGCCGAGAACGGGTCGCACTCGCCGCGTTCCGCTGGCTGCAAAGAAGGTGGAGACAGGAGCGGTTAAGTTCCCGGTCGCACGCACCAAGATTCAGACGACGAAGAAAGGCTCCTTCACAGTCTGCGGCGAGGCTTCTACGTACCAAGGCACTTACTCAGGCGTGGAGTACCGTGCGGTTTCTGAAATGCCCCGCGTGTCTGCAGACACCAAGAAGAAGATCATTGCTCCGGCAACAACCGGCGACCTCCCGACACCGCCAGAGGACTGGCAGGATCGCCACGGCTCCGACGTACCCTTGTTCTGGAACGAGTCGAAGCCGATAGCATATTGGAATGCCATCATTGAGGAGTTTTGCGCGGAGGCAGTGTTTGACCTCACGGCTGGCACCGGTGCTCTGATGGAGGCTTCTTTGACTGCCGGCATCGCATACCACGGGCTTTGCAGCACCCTTACTTGTCCAGTAGATTCGTCAGATCATTGTCATTTGATTTTATTTAAATTATCCGAGGCCTCAACAAGGAGCCCATGTCGTGGGTCCAGGCGGTTGCTGATCGCGCAGCTTGCGGAATGATGGCTTTGGAGGGATCCACTCTTTACTCGGACGAGAATGCCAAGGCGGTGAAGAAGCATTTCCCGCACGTTCTGGAGAGCTTGTCCAACCAAGACGACCAGGACGAGGCACCTGCTGAGCCAGATAGCCCCCGCGATCAACCGCAGTGATGATGTTTCACTTCGACCGAATCCGCCAGCTCAGGCACCAGCTCAGGCACCTAGGCTCCCAGGTTCTCAGGCTCTTGACCTTTTGCCGGGCTCAGTTTTGTCAGTAGTGTGTAGCAGTGACTACTGTCGCCTGAAAAAGCCGAAATGCTCTTATTGTGGCATGACATTGAAATAGGACTCGCCGAGGATGTTGTTGTAGTCGCCTGAATGCATTAAAGCGAGCCGTTATGGCCCCAGGTTCCCAGGCTCTGAGGTTCCCTGCTTGGGTTCGACATGGGCTGCCGATGGAGGCCTACCAGACGCCTCTGGGGCAAAACCAGTCTCAAGACGGCTTCTCGTCGGATGCCCCGGGGGTGCCAGCATGGTGGCAGCAAATCGCAGAGCTTGCGGAAGCAGGCTGTGAAAGACGGCTTGGTCCCCAAGGCTCGAAGGGCCTTCGTCATCTGGTTCCAGGAAAACTCCGAAGTCAAGAAAGGCGCTCCCAAGCACGAGTTTCTCAATGAGATGAAGCATCTTGGCGCAGTCTGGCAGGGCATGACCGACAAGCAGAAGGCACCATTCATGGCGAGGAGCAAAGATGAGTTCATGGCTCAGCGAAGTGCACTGGCCGTTCTTGGCATCAGGATGCGGGGCTCCACGACCAGTGCGGGCGGCCCCGACGAGGCGAAGGACCCCCCTGCCGCTGACGAATCTGGCGGTCGCGTTGGCCCATTTGAGCTTAATTGTGCAAGGGCTCCAATTGGAGGCGGAGCCTATGGCAGTGTCTACAGTTGCCAGCATCCGCAAAGCGGCCTTAACGTGGCGGTGAAGGTTTATCGTGGCCCCGATGGCCCCGCGGATTGCAGGCACGAAGTGGAGCAGATGAAGCTTCTAATGAAGGCCGTTCCGCAGCAGAAGATGATGTGGTTCCCGCTTCTTGTCAGCTCGGGTGTCACGGGCAGACCTTGGCCATGGATGGCTACTAGCCTATGTGGGCCCAGCCTGGCAACCGCACTTCGAAATCCTGCGGCGCATGGCAAGCCGAGGACGTGGTCTGTGGCAGCTCAGCTGAGAAGTGCACTGCAGACCTTGCATGACGCAGGCATCCTACACTTGGATGTGAAACCTGGCAATGTTCTTTGGTGCCCTTGCACAGATCAGGTGCAGGTGTGCGACTTCGGCATGAGTGAGAACATGGCACGGCTCCAGAAGGCTTCTCAGGCTCCCAGGTTCCTGCAGTATGTCACGGCTGCCTATCGACCTCCGGAGCTGTGGCCCGCTCGTGTGAATGGCGATGGAGACTGCGGTGTCAGAAAGCAGCTGCTGACTGCAGCTGTGGATATGTGGGCCTATGCTTGCGTGGTGTTTGAGGTGGAGACCGGGAATCCCTTCATGCCCAAGGGGGAGGCCGGACTGAGAGCGTGGTGCAAGCAGTGGCCCGAGCTGTGGAAAACACGCAGCGACTTAGCCAATTGCCCCGCTGCAAGTCACACGTGCTGCACAAAGGTGCTTCGAGCCGGTAAATGGGGGCTGTTTGTGTTGGTCGGCTGTGCTCCAGACCCCGGAAAGCGGCGGTGGCCGGAGCTCTGTCTGAATCAGAAATGA